CTCTCTCTCTCTCTCTCTCTCTCTCTCGGACTTTAGGATTAACAGAGAAGAGGCAGCGAAGAACCGGACGGCCAGCCATTTCGATGCCGATGAAGACCATAACGTGATGGTATACTCGGTACTAATGGCGGTCATATTCATCACCCAACTGGTCCGGTCGGGCACGTGGTTCTTCATGTGCGTCCGCGCGTCAGTCAATCTCCATAACCGTGTATTCGGACGACTCATGCGAACGTCCATCGCTTTCTTCGAGACCAAACCCATCGGTAATCAATTGATCCAACGATTGTATGTCTTCATCGATGGTATAATTGTATCCCGATTTCAGGCCGAATACTAAACCGATTCACCAAAGATATGGGTGTTGTCGACGAACAGTTGCCCACAGTTTCCTATGAACTCAATCAAGTGATAGCTCAAGACATATATAAACTTACCATTAGATCATTTAAACGATTGTCTTTGTCTTTGTGTGCAGATCTTCGCGCAGATAATCGGTTCCGTAATTGTGGTCTCAATAGTGAATCCATATCTCATAATTGCGTCCATTTTCCTAATCGCTATTATTTTGGTCATCCGATGGCTGTATCTGAAGACCGGACGAGATATTAAGCGTTTTGAAGGCATCGGTAATGCAATACAGAGATTAGCTCTTTGTAATCACTTTGGACTCTCTCTCTCTCTCTCTCTCTCTCTCTCTCTCTCTCCACACATAGCCCGGAGCCCTCTCTACGACCACATGACCACAACGCTGAGCGGTTTGCCGACAATCCGTGCCTTCAAAGTGCAGGACCTGTTTCTTCGGCAGTATTATCGCCATCAGAACGATCACACGTCCGCTTATTTCATGTGTATCTCCGCCTCAAGAGTTTTAGGTGATCACCCAAAGCGGTTCCGCCGCACCTTTGCCTATGGTATACGCTCTGCCCCTAACACTAACCGCCCGGTGCTCTGCCATTACAGGTGTGACAATGGACTGGCTGTGTGTGTCGTACCTCTTCTGTGTGACACTATTTCTGATGGTCTATCATAAGGGTATGGCTTTTGTGTTGATCTCATTGACAATGATTGTCTCAACTGATCCATTGTCTTAACACCACAGACCTGGAGAGTGGCAGCGCTGGTCTGGCCTTCACTCTGGCCATGGGTTTGGCGGGAATGGCTCAGTGGGGGGTCCGGCAGTCGGCCGAATGCGAGACTCAAATGGTGTCCGTCGAGCGTATTGTCGAGTACAGCGGTCTCGAGCCGGAGACCGAGCTTACAGACAGCCTACAGTCGCCGCCCCGGGAGTGGCCACAAACCGGTCGCATAGAGTTTGTAGACGTGTCCCTCCGGTACCCGAATCGACCGGAACCGACCCTAAACGGCCTAAACATGGTGTTTACGGGCGGACAACGGGTGGGTGTTGTCGGCCGGACGGGCGCCGGCAAGAGTTCACTGGTGGCCGCGCTATTTAGACTACACCCGACCGGTGGCCGTATACTCATCGACGGCGTCGACCACCGGACAGTACTAGTCGGCGAACTCCGGCGCCAGTTGTCTGTCGCACCGCAGGAAGCGATAGTCTTCGGCGGCTCTGTCCGTCATAATCTGGACCCGTTTGACGAGCACCGGGAGGACCGGCTATGGGAGGCGTTAGAGGCCGTACAGCTCCGGCAGGCGGTGCTGGAAATGCCCGCACAGTTGGGCCACGAGTTGACGGACGGCGGCGCCAATCTATCTGTAGGTCAGCGCCAGTTGCTATGTCTGGCGCGGGCTATACTGCGCCGCTCCCGCATCCTTGTGCTCGACGAGGCGACCGCTTCGGTCGATCCCGAGACCGATGCGCTCATACAGCGGGCCATTGGCCGCCATTTCGCCGCCGCAACTGTACTCACAATAGCCCATCGGCTGCACACTGTTATCGACTCGGATCAGGTGCTGGTGATGGACGCCGGGAGGGCTGTAGAGTACGGGCCGCCACACGAGTTGTTGGCCTCGAGTGAGGGAGTGTTTTACGGTTTGGTCGCACAGACGGGTCGGCAAATGGCCGGCGAGTTGTGCCGCGCGGCCAAACAGGCTTATGACGAACGCCGGTCGGCCTCGGGTGACCACCGACTAGACTAGTCGGTAGAGTAGTTGATACCCTTAAACAGTTTAGGCAACTGTCATATAACTCGTGTTCAGGCAGTTGTGGTAAAAGACCTGAAAGATTATCGATAAGTGTTTTTTCGGAGTGTTTCTAAATAATGATTTTAATAATTAATAAACAAAATGTTTTTATTAACAAATATTATCGCATTATAAAGTTAATGAAATAATACTACTTAATTATGTCCTTTAAGATTATTTAGCAAAAATGTTATAGCAAGGTTCTTTATTAATGACAAAATAATTAAACATAACTTTCATAAATTATTTATAAAATATTGGTATATTTGTTTACTGTTAGTCCTTATGTATTTCCAGTATAGATAGAGTTGTAAAATTACTTTATTATTTATGTCTAGAATATTATACAGCCACTATCATTAGATACGAGCAAAAACAACTATGTAATTTCAAAATAATTATTAAACTGCCATTTAATCATCAATTATCTAAAATATTCATAAAGGCTGAAAAAAGTATAAGTGTGTACGAAATTAAATGTGACTTTTTTTAGATCACCATAAGCCTTATGGCATAAGGGAACAGTTACACTAATAATCTTATTTATAAAAATATTTGAAAAGTATTTATAAAATATGAAAACAACAAAAGTGTTAAATTTTTTATTTTCTCAATACACTTTGAATAATAGAAATAACAATTATGGTTAAAACAATTAAAATAAGATCCATATAAACCATTGACATTACATTACTCTCCATTAATGGGCCGTAAATTAATGGGATAACCATTTGAAGGCAGCCAATGATAATAGTGTACAATACGGCTATAAGCTCAGTGAGCGGGGTGAATTGTTGAACCAGCTGAAAAGTGGCCCCAAACAGTGGGCCCACACCCACACCAAACATTACACACGCTATCCATATAACGAATACCGATTTGTGTGCAAACAATAGCAGTAATTGTGACAGAAATTGCAACAAAACGCCGATCCATATAATGTTAATGGCGCTGATATAGTGGGCCAACGGTATGGCCAGTGCTTGGGAGGCGCCGCAGGCCAGCGATATTGCGGTACTAAAGTAGGCGGCGTATTGTGTACTGACCTCAGTCAGGCCCATCTCGGTGCTAAATTTAGTAATGTTGGTCAGTTTGGTCTCTTGAACCGCGTATAGCAATGACTTTAAAAGGCCGCACATTATAATCATTACAAATACGGTATTTGTCGGCATTAGTTGTGATCTGATATTATTGACAAATAGTGTCCATAATGTGTGTATTTTGGACACTATTTTACCGTTTTTGTCGCGTTTATGGCGTTTACTGTTATTATTGTCAATACTAGTGTCAGTAATAATGATTGACTGGTTTTCCGGTATTATTCTTCTCAATAAAAACATTAGTATAAAAGGTATGCCATTGACTGCTGTTATGATACCGATTATCATATATGGTGTGAAAAGTGTCCATTTCATGGCAGTTATGTCTTCGGCTGTATATTCAGACTCGCCTACAGATGTCGGCAGATAAGGGGCGACGACCAGAGGGGCGACAATACCGGCTAAACTAGACATGAATTGCAAGACTTGCATATATGGGCCGCTGTCCAGACCCCAGACATCGGCGATCCATACCAGACATAGTATGGATTGACCGGTAATTGTGATGCCATAGACAGCCATAAGTAAATATAATCCGTTAAGCGATACCGCGATTGGAGTAAACGTTACAACAATTCCGCACAATATTAGACATATTGTAATTACTATCGGTTTGTTTATTCCCCGCCAACCAAACACTTATACATAAAATGAAAATAGTTTTTATATAAATCAATAAAATATATAAGAATTTTTGAGTGTTTATCATTACTCCTATAGGATTACCATTATCTATAGAATTAGCATTACCGTAGACCTAACATCACCCATAGAATTGAAATTCACATAGATTTAACATTATGGTACCCTTTGAAAATTCTAAACATTACCCATAGGATAATCCACACTAAAATGCCCATGTTAAGCCTATTTTATAAACTTAACATTATCCCCATGTTAAAGCATTGCTATAGCTGTAATTCTATTTTAAATCCCACTCTATGTTAAATTCCACATTACACATAGGCTTAACATTGTTCATAGGATTAGCATTAACCCATAGACTCAGTACTACCCATAGTAATCCTATGTCATAAACTTAAAGTGTAATCACATTGAAACTCATTAAAAAAAATTCCAATAAATTTAACATTATTTATAAAATACAATTAGCCACATGTTAAAGTATAGCCATAGACTTAGGCTGGGATTTCATGTTAAATCCCATAGAGCGGGCGGAGGGGAGGGTCAGTCGACTAGGTTTATAAACTACATTGTTCATATCTGTATTTTTATCTACATTTATTTTATCAGTAAATGTTAGTAATAAATAGATATTTAATATGGATTGATAGGATCACCATGGTCGTAAATTATAACTATTAAATTAAGTAAATCATACGCAAAGATCCCAACAAATTGGCAAAAGATTTGACTGTTTTGGTGATTGAGATGCTATCGTAATCTGTTTGGTATATCACAGCCAGTGTTGTCAGTGTTGGCGAAAACATATAAGCGCTGATACTCTGGATATAAACATTTTGATTTGATCATGATATTATTTATTTAACTTATTATATTTTGTATACGTATGCATAAAATTTGCAATTAAATTTTTAATTAATTGTTAGTATAATAATTAAATTGTTTTACCCCAATGAAACATGTAATGCATACGATTAAAGTAGTCATGTACTTCCATTTTACCCAGGTTATTCTTGTCCCATTGTCCATTATGAGAGAATAATAGAAGTAAGTTTATATTTATAAAATTAGCAATTAATTAATTAACGTGTATAAATTTTACAACATCTAATTATAATAAACGACATGAAAGTTATTAAAAACACAATTCATTCATTTGAAATAAGGATGTCCTTTAAGATTACTCCGCATAAATGTTACAGGATATTATTAATTGCTTAATTAATAGAAAAATAATTAAACAAAAATTTAATTCGTGTCATTATATTTCATTTCATTGCAAACACTTTTGAAAGTGTGGCTCAATGTTGGTTTACCAGAGTTGTACTTTGGAATGAAGTTGTACAGTACATTGCACAGTATTCCCTGGGACTACGGGTTGTAGGTTCAATTCCCCGTAATATAACACGGCCTTATATCTTCATTAAATTTATACGAAAACTAGCATGTATATCAAGTTAACCAGTATGTTTTAGACTACTATTAGACAACGAACTCTCTTTTGGGTTTTTGGATTAGTAAAGCCAAGTATTAAACTAAATATTAAAATTTGTATACAGTAGTTTGTATACATGTAGTTTGAATTAAGAATTAGTAGTCATCAAATGAATGCATGTATAGTAAAAGCTAGCCATAATGTATGACAACAAAAACCATAAACGTCGACCCTTTTCAAGCGCTATCCTTTCAATTTTGTTTAAATTTTCTTTAGTGATAAGCAAAGTGTTAACTCTGGATATTCCAACCAATCAAATACTCAGGAATATCCCATAGAATTATATCAATTTATATCAGGGCCCCAAAAAAGTAATGCTCATTTTTGATTCAAATTGTAAATTTATTTTATTCACAAGATAATAAACTTAAATCAATGATATATTCTCCATCATTATCAACAACTGTCTGCCATCTTGTCACAAATTTTTCAATTTTTTAATTGAAGATTAAACTAGATTTTAAGACCAAAATCTGAAGACACCCCCGATTTGATTACATCTGCCATTTTTAACACCATTTCTCTCACACACATTAGAAATGATGGGTATCTGTGGTAATCAGTAGGGAATATATCAGGGTTGGTGGCAGTGTGGGTATAGTTTTTATACCTCTTGTTATTAAACTTTAATTGGGGTTTTATTTTTAAAGTTACTTTTTTCGGGAATTTTTTTATCATTGAAATACTGTAAAACACGGTTAATTTAATCGCTAGCCGTTCGTTAACATCTCTAAGTGATCCTCAATAGTCTATTCCCTGTATCCCTACCCTATGAACATATCATCAGCCAATATATTTGACATCGGAGTCCCGAACCAGTTTAAACACTACCAATAAGTGGCCAAACATCGGGTGACCACCACGGCCACAATCAAGGGCGCGGCACGTTTTTATCTATAGTGGTCATTCATGCACATTTATACAATTTATATTATAAATGTGTTTAATTTTTCTAGTGCACAATCGCGTAAAATAAGCTCTTTATAAATTTGTATAAAATAATGTCTAATGTGTATATTGTTCGGGAAATCGCTGGCCATCGATGACAATAAATATTTTTAATATTTATATCATAAAATAATCTCAATATATAGTAGCTTTGTATAACAAAGAGCTTTGTTTTATAAGCATGTGTTTTACTTACAAAAATATGAGTTAAAGTTCAGGTATCATTTTTGAGCATTACTTTATTTTTTACCTAGATATTAATATCAGACAATATATTACACTTTTTGTTACATTGACTTGTATTATAATCTAATTTATGATAAAATTGTTACTTTGTTAAAGAATATAAGCTATCAGCTAATTCTGAAACACTTATTAGTAATAAGTTATTACTGACTTAATTATATCAGATATAATCGCAAACAAATACTGGTAAACAGTAGTAGTAGTTTATGAAAACAACCAAGACCAGGCAACCTGGTTATTTATCAATTTATTAGTTGGTCATTGAGTAAATAAATGTATCTGTTATGATATCAATTGTATTTATTAAATTAAGAATAAGAAGGCAATTATCAACATTTAATTTAAATTTACAAATGTAGGATAGGGAAAAGAAGGCGAATGCTTTTAAATGACCTGGGTGTTTTTATATTAATAGCAAAATAACAAACAAATATTTGAAATAAGATAACTAATCATATTCTGGCCGATTTGGCTCAGTTCCAGATCTACACCACAATCATCAGTACTTTACCCGCGTTTCTCTATATGCTGTTTATCGGGCCGTTCATCGATCAGTACATTCACGGCCGCAAACTAGTGCTACTGTTGGCTATGTTGGGCTACGGGGGCTGGTATGCACTCCAACTGCTTATGGCTATACAATTTGAATGGGGTGAGTGACTTAACCCTTATTTACTTAATTATACTATTTTCGGTCAATTCGACCAATTCAGTTAGTCTAAAATCGAATTTGACATTACCATTGAAAACAATGGGCTTTATATGTTTAAAAATTAGAAAAGGTTGGCCTCAACTTCGGGTGAGTGCTGTGAAGCTATTTTAAGATATATTTTCATTTTATAAAATGAATATCATTTTTAAATATATAAGGATTAAAAAGAATTCATAAATTATTAAATCGGGTGACCAGAAGATTGTTAAATTCCCGCCGCCGTTTGATTACAAAAGATATTTGTATCCCTGTATAATCTGATTTAGGTAAAAATGATTTGTTTTATCATTGGTATTTGTTTGGGTAGAATAGATGTACACTATATGCTACTGACATACATACCTGTGGTAATGTTTGGCGGCTGGGCCTGTGTTATGCTTACGGCCAACAGTTATATGGCCAACAATTCACGCCCAGAGCACCGGTTCGTCAAATATGCACTCTTTGAGTTGGCCCTCTATATTGGTAAATTCTCTCTCTCTCTCTCTCTCTCTCTCTCTCTCTCTCTCTGCATTTCTATTTCAACATTTCTAATTACTAGTAATATTTCTAACGATTATTAATTNTCTCTCTCTCTCTCTCTCTCTCTCTCTCTCTCTCTCTCTCTCTCCCTCTCCCTCTCACTCATTATAACTGCTTCACAGCGGGTCCGACGGGAACTTTCACTGGCGGCCAACTGTTAGGCAGCGGTAATCCGCAAACACCAGACAATCAGATCCATAACTACCAAAGAGTACTCATCGCGAGTATATGCTTATCGATTGTGGCTTTCTTATGGGTATGATTTGAGTGTCAATTTTTCGGGGCATAAAATCATACAAATTCGGGCACACAATTAAATGAGCACAAAATAATTGTATTTATTAAAAGGATAATTATTAACGAGAATTTAAAAACGCTTTAGGTATTACTTGTGATCAATGAGAACCCGAAGAATAAAGTGGCCGAAGAAAACGACGAAAACGTTGAATCACAGACAACGGCTCGGGATGACAGCCATCGGACAGCAGGGCATCCCGAACCACAAGACAACGGGTCTGTGAGCCGGGAGTTTAAGTTTGGATACATTTTCGACGTCCATAACGTGGCGCGAGTCGTGCGGACAGCGTTACGGCGGCGGCCAAACAGAGGCCGCGCCCGCCTATGGCTCCTATACCTATGTATGTGCGCTCTCATGATGTCTGAGATCAAAGCCTTCTCCATACTCTTCCCATACGTAGAGCGGGTCCACAGTTTGGACGCTCAAGAGTTCAGCTCAATTCACTCCGTGGCCAACGCCGTGCAGACCGTCATAATGGCCGCAGCCGTACCCCTACTGTCCTCATACGCCGGTCTATCGGACGCCAAGTTGGCAATCATCGGCTTCTGTAGCCTATTCTCGGCGGCTGTGGTGTTGGGCTCAGTGTTGCGCCGATGGGGTCTGTATGTGATGTACTTTGTGGGCGCGCTGTCCGGCATCGCACCCGTCGGCGTCCGTTCGCTCATCTCGAAGACAGTGCCCGTCGACGAGTCGGGCCGTGTGTTCTGTCTGTTGGGCGCTTTGGAGGCCGTGTTTCCGGCCATTCAGTCGGCGTTCAACAACACTCTGTTCCGCTATACCATCGATTGGTACCCCAGTCTGTGCTTCCAAACGGCCGGCGCTTTCACTTTCATTCCCATATATATTCTCATTTGGATTGACTTAACATTAGTGCCAAAAACGGACTGAATTTCGAACTTAATGTTCAGATGATTGTTGAAAATACATTAAAACTAAATCTAATTATGAATATATTTGTAATTAAATTCAATATAAAAACAGAACTTTATTTGAAATAATTTTGTAAAATAAAGACCTAAATTGAACAGACATTTGACAAACATTTTCTACTAAATTACTTATAAATAAGATTCACGCATAAAGTGTCTACGGATTCGCATATAATACACACTTCCAGCAAATTCAAAAGCTCCAGAATAGGGCCGCGAGAGTAACCATCTCTTCCATTGAAATCAATTGATTACTATTAAAATCAATGGTAAAAACTTGTGTCCATTTGTTACTATATTTATTTGAAAGTTTTCCCATTTGTACTCTAAAGTTCTTACTTTTCCAAAAGTGCTCTTTTTTCTAAAATAAGAGTTGGTCTCTCTCTCTCTCTCTCTCTCTCTCTCTCTCTCTCTCTGCATTTCTATTTCAACATTTCTAATTACTAGTAATATTTCTAACGATTATTAATTATACCACTATTTAGTTGTATTAATTACTTGTAATGTTGCTTACAATTATCTCCTTGAGATTACTTATTAACATGTTATAACCTGATTATTTATTAATGGAAAAATTTAACTTAATAACAATGATAACATGATAGCACATTTAAAAACTCAATAATGCTATTTCTGTACATTCATTAGTCTATTAAAATTAAAACACATTTTTAAATTTAGTATTATACTGTATTATACTGTATTATACTATTACATTTAGTTATTTAGTTACAAATTAATTCAATGTATTTTTATGGCCGAAAATGTACAATTAACTTGGGTTAAATGGAGATACGTGCTTACCATCACAATATGTATTACATCTTTCATTTCAGTAAGTATTTATAGTGATTAGAAATATGAACGTTTAACACTAGTTAAAATATTAATTAATTAATTTAATATTTTTAATAATAAAATGTAATTCATTGTAATAATAGTTTATAACTTAATATTTAAATATATAAGTGATATAATAATTTCTATACTTCAGAGCATTAGTGGATACATGTTATCGCCAACACTGACAACACTGGCTGTGATATACCAAACAGATTACGATCGCATCTCAATCACCAAAACAGTCAAATCAGCAGCAAATTTATTGGGATCCTTATGTACGATATGTTTATTAATATATTTTATTTAAAAATTCCTTGCTAATTTATATAATTACTTATTTTATATATCAGCGTAAGATACATTTTTATTATACTTAATTCATTTATTATTTAAAGTAACTAATAACTTAATTATAATGCATGTTAATTGTTTAAGTGTTTGGTTGGCGGGGAATAAACAAACCGATCGTAATTACAATATGCCTGATATTGTGCGGTATTGTCGTAGCGTTTACGACAAACACGGCGTCAATAGATGTATTATATTTACTTATGGCTGTCTATGGCATCACTAACACAGGTATTACAATATTACTGGTGGTCTGGATCGCCGATGTGTGGGCTAAGGACAGCGGCCCATATATGCAAGCGTTTCAGTTTACAACCAGTTTAGCCGGTATTGTGGGTCCACTGGTTGTCGCCCCATATCTGCCCTCAAATATAGGCCCGACTGATGACACGACCGCCGATATATCGGCCATCAAATGGACACTTTCCATACCATACCTCATAATCGGTATCATAACAGCCGTAAATGCCATACCATTTGGTTTAATGCTAGCATTTAATAGGTTTATACCTAAAAACATCGCAAACACTAATAACGATATTAATAATAATAATGACAATATTAATGAAACAAATAATACAATTATCTATCGATTAAATCAATGGCGGAAACAATACTGGATATTGTTTGTTGAAAATATAAGCTCACAATTAATGCCCACAAAACTCATATTTGTAATGATAATAATGTGCGGCAGTATTAAAGCGCTGCTATACGGTATACAAGAGATCCAACTGACCAACATCACTAAATTTAGCACCGAGGTGGGCCTGACTGCTGTCAGCACACAATACTCGGCCTATTTTAGTACCTGTATATCTGGCGCGACGGCTGCCTCTCAAGCCCTGGCCATACCGTTGGCCAGATATATACGGCCTCTAACTATGCTATGGATGGGAATATTTCTACAACTTTTGTCTCAAATATTGCTATTATTTGCCCACAAATCGGTAGTAATTATATGGATATCGTGTGCAGTGTTTGGCATTGGTGTTGGTCCTGTATTTGGAGCCATGTGGCAACTTGTGGGCCAATTCACCCAGGTGACAGAACTTGTATGCGTGTTATACACAATAATTATTGGTTGTGTTCAAGTGATATTACCGTTAATTTTTGGCCCATTAATGGAGATTAATGTAATGTCAATGATTTATATTAATTTAGTTGTAATCATTTTAGCGATTATTTTAATTATAATTATAGAAATTGTAATATTAATTGATACTGTTGTTACCTTGATTGTTTAAACGATTGTACAGTATAAAATTATTTATTGTATATAATATAAAGTACTTTATATTATGTACTGTACTACATATTATGTATGTTTACAACATTTATAACAGTGTACCATTAATATGATACAAGTGATATGTGAATTAAAACATTGTGGTAAGTAATAAATAGTTACTAATACAAATGGAAATAAATTGTGAAAATTCTTAACTAGTTATGGGAAACATATTATAATAGAAACCATTTGTCGGTTCGGATGACAATTGTTTGGTAAATGCTATCACTTTTAGCCATTCGGTAAGTGATAGCGATTGACGTTCAGATCCTCGTCGGCTAAGATATGGCATTAATTTATTAATTATAATTACATTTAAAATTATAAATCTGTTAAAATTTTAATAAAATAATTACCCAATTAATACAGTAATCAATACTTTATTTACATTCGTTTTACAAAACAAGAGTTAAGTATTTTAAATGATTTCATTGACATTTGATTGACAGATGAGGCGGTGAATATGATTTTAATGAAAGCACCGATACATGTTAATAGCATAACCAGCATGAACAATTTCAGCATAAATGCGATCTTAACTGTAATTATAAAATATGAACCAATGGTTAGACAACTGCCAAATAGAGTCCAAACCGATAGCAAATATTTGGACCAATAAGTGGTGTTGTATTCATTGATTTCAATACAAATTGCATTCAATGAGTGAATTATATATAAAATATTTTGTGATTTTTTCTGTAATTGATTGTTAATTGTATTTATTTTTATCTTTAAATAATACGAAACCAAATAGAAATAAGTGAATTGCCATAAAATAATTCTCATACCAAACAAGTATAGAAAACAATACAACAAATAATTAGGTAAACCATATAAAAGAGCCACAATTATGGGGTTAAATAACATATAAGGTATTAACCAAATTAACCCCACAAACGGTGAAATATATTTGCATAAAATATAATTG